ATGCGTTATTTTTTTTTTAAATTGGATGCATTCCTAAATTGCAAAATGCAATTGTTTTTAAGGGATGTGTGTGATTGCTGTTATTCCTAATAAAATTAGAAAACTTGTTCAAATTTAATAAGATAAATTGAATATAATAAGAAAATAATAAGGGAATAATAAAAGAATAATAAGAGAATAGATTGAAAATAGTTTGATATAAATGTAAAAACATACACATGATTCAATTAATAAGTTTTCCATAACATCCATAATATTAAATTAAATTAATTGGAAATGGCAATCAGAGCCAGGCGCGGTAGTTGGATCCATAATATTAGATGAAAATAATAATTAAAAGAACTATCTATCTCTAACTATAATAAATTGTAACATATATCTTAAAAAAAAAGAAATTAATATCTAATTACTCTAATATATAATATAATATAATATAAGCACATACATGTAATTACTTATATATTGAATATCTTTTTTGAATTTGAATTTTTTGCATTTATTTGACAAATTCTAATTATTTGAGTTTTTTGCGTCTTTAAATCGAATTTAGAGATCCTGTTAGATAGTTTGTAGACCAAGTAGTTGCAAATTTGGCCGATCGTTTATGTTTCCTTGAGTGCACCAATCGACCAGATTTGGCAATTTGATTTGGATATAAAGTTAGTTTTAGAGTTTGTCCATTAATCTTGGTTGTTGATCTGAATCCAGTAAATGTGATCTATGCAGTGTCAACCATTCCTCTGAGATAAAGGATTTCCGGTGCATCTCGCTTGTACATATTTCCAAACTTTTGTTATGCGCGGAGAATCACGGAAACTTTTTTGGGTAGATAGAGTGCAGAGTATGATTTAAATTATTTACAAATTATGTTCAAACGAGAGAAATATACGGTATATCAGGGACAGCCATGCGTAACAAGCACGTGAAAAGTTTTCAACTCAAACATTTTATAATATATAGATTTGCATACGCTTTTATTTATGAGATCTCGCGAATATAATAAATTTCATTTGTATAGTAATTAATTATTTTTGTATTTTTGAGTTACGTATAAATTAAATTAGTATTTTGTTACACAAAAGAAAAATGTGATATATTCATCATTTTATTAAATGACTTTATAAAACAACTTTCTATGTAAAATTTTATATAAAGATATTATAACTGCAAAAGAAAATACATTATCGTCATAGTTTGTATAAACCAGTGTGTGAACTGCCATCATCGATAAACTGTATAAAGTCTTACGTATATATGCTTTACGCGAAACGACATGTTTTACGAGAATTGCTTTCGCTGACAATGCGAATTTGATGCTGTAATTCAGCTTATAGTCGCGGAGAATAGATCTATGATTGCTATCGCTGGTGAATAATTCGAGAAAATGAAGTTCTCCAGCCAGTTTAACGTCATATAGCGCGTGCATTCAACATTAGACATGCATTATTCTCGCGCAAATCACTCAACGCTAAGTTTATAATTACACAGGGTGATTAAAATCTTAATCCTTTAATATATATATATATATATATATATATATATATATATATATATATATATATATATATATATATATATATATATATATATATATATATATATATATATATATATATATATATATATATATATATATATATATATATATATATATATATATATATATATATATATATATATTAAAGGATTAAGATTTTAATCACCCTGTGTAATTATAAACTTAGCGTTGAGTGATTTGCGCGAGAATAATGCATGTCTAATGTTGAATGCACGCGCTATATGACGTTAAACTGGCTGGAGAACTTCATTTTCTCGAATTATTCACCAGCGATAGCAATCATAGATCTATTCTCCGCGACTATAAGCTGAATTACAGCATCAAATTCGCATTGTCAGCGAAAGCAATTCTCGTAAAACATGTCGTTTCGCGTAAAGCATATATACGTAAGACTTTATACAGTTTATCGATGATGGCAGTTCACACACTGGTTTATACAAACTATGACGATAATGTATTTTCTTTTGCAGTTATAATATCTTTATATAAAATTTTACATAGAAAGTTGTTTTATAAAGTCATTTAATAAAATGATGAATATATCACATTTTTCTTTTGTGTAACAAAATACTAATTTAATTTATACGTAACTCAAAAATACAAAAATAATTAATTACTATACAAATGAAATTTATTATATTCGCGAGATCTCATAAATAAAAGCGTATGCAAATCTATATATTATAAAATGTTTGAGTTGAAAACTTTTCACGTGCTTGTTACGCATGGCTGTCCCTGATATACCGTATATTTCTCTCGTTTGAACAATATATATTAATACAAAACATTATTTATCGTGATATCTTTTAAGTGAGGACGTTTTCAAAACAATAAAAGAGATATCTTTATATTCATATGTATTAAACGAGATGAAAGCGCATCTCTGTATATATGTATTAACAAAATAAGATGTCTATTCACCTTAGTTCTGCAAATAAGTATAAACGTGCCTACAGCTCTACACATAGAATGACAAGAATATCAAGGATCTATAAACATGTATGAATGCATTTCGAGAGAATATGAACACAGATGTGGATGTGCCACGATCTCTGCCTTGCAAACGCTTAGACTTTCAATGTATTACTAGTATGGTGAATGCACGCGAAATGTATGAAGATGTACTGATGCACGTACTATGTGCATCATGCATTTGAAGAAAAAAAAGTTGTAGGGTATAGCAGGCATATATATGACAGACAGAGAAATAGCGACAATAATTCCATATATACATACGTAGAACAAATTGTACAATATGTCGCTTCTTACTACGCGTATTTTCTCGTTTTATAAACGCACTTTGTGTTTCTTCTTAGATGTAAACTAACAATATTTATCTTTGCTACATATATACAATATAAAATACGTAGCAGAAGCGTGTAATACAAATGAAATTTTAAATATGCAATTTTCAATCAGGGTAACGCAGTAAAGGAAAATTTTATCGCATAAGGGTGATTATAAGTGAGCAATGGTTTTGCCATCATATTTATCGTTTTGTATACATTAGATTGTTTACAAAGTATATTAAGAAGGTTGTAGTCGTTATTTTTTTTTTTTTTTAATTGCAGAAAAGTGCTGCACGATTCGTTTTCGTTATTATATCCTTTGCGGTTTATTATTATTGTAGAGATTTAACAGGAAACATTTATTATTTAAATAGCATAAAGTTTCAAAAAATTATGAAACTTATTTATAAAAAAATCATATTAAAGAATATTAAATGTAGGAAAACTTAATATATATAAACGAGAAAAATATATACTTGATATATATACAAACGAGAAAAATATATACATATATGTATATACATATAATTGATAATATATATAAGTGAAAAAATATTTAATTTTGTATTAATAAAAAATATATATTTATAAAAAATATATATTTAATTGATAAAACTTATATAAATAAAAATTAATTTTATATATTTTTGTATATATTGTTTTGAAATAAACGCATAGTTATATACATATAAGCGCTGCATTGTTGAAATTTCTCTTTAATACTTGAATTAAATATCTCAAAGTACAGAAATACGAGAGATAAACGAAAGAGTTAACCCATCATTTATTTCAGTTTTAGGAAGCAATCTCGAAGTTAAATCTAAAACACAAGTTGTACAACGTACTTGATTACTCTACATAAGCTGATGAGAGGAGGAGAATTTTCAGTACTTTACTGTTACTAATATTTCATCGGTTAGCTGTGCGTGTAAACTGATGAGAACTTTTCATCGCCGCTATTTCCCGAGAATTAACTTTCTGGCAGTGAAAGATGGCTCTGTTCGTAGAAAATACGATAATCATAGGACACTTGGGAAATCGAGAAAACAATTTTTGTATTTTTTTCGGGAGTAAAATAAATTGTAAAATATCTTCCTCTCCCGGCGCGCAACTATTTTTTTCTCTCGTATTATTGTGAAATGTTAAAATTTTGATTTTAGGTCAAATCTTTGATACGTTGACAATAACTTAACAATAATGAAATTTTTATAAATTAAAATTTAAATAAAAAATATTTATTTTTTTCTTATAAGTAAAAAACTTGTATAAATAAATAAGTTTATATACTTTGTTAGATAATTAAATAATAATATATTTTATTAAGAAATTATTATTAATGAATATATTATTATTATAATTAGCTTGTATATAAAGAGAATTAATTATTAATAAAAAAATTTTTTGTTAACAATTACTTAAAGTTACTGGGATATGGAAAAGAATTACTCTCCTTTTTACGCGAAAATATTGAACAAAACATAATAAATTTTAAAATAAGCAAGCTATTTTTTTTCTTATTTTTAAGGGCAGAAATCCACGATGCAGGTGCATCGAAAGACATTCGGTGCATTTTAAAATTGTATTTTTTCAGATAAGTTGTATTGGATGCAAAGCTCGTGCAAAAATATACAGAAAATGGAAAGATATGCAAACTTTATTATCAGAGGCAGCGGACACATTAATGAAACGATGCTCTCGTGAAGTTGATAGGATCGGGTTATTTTCCTTCTCGAAAGTTAACGACCAACCGTGATCGAAGTCGCTACCATCGAAAACAAAAGTTTGTTTTTAGAAAGTTCAAGGAACAACTCAATCAAAAGATGTACAGAGAATATGGATAAAAAATCAAAGTGAGATTTTTGTCAGATATAATGTTTGGAAAAATTTATAAATAGCTACAGTGTTTTCAATCAATGTCGAGATAATCAAAAGTCTACGTTTATAATAATATTAAATATATATATATCGCATAAATATATAAACGAAAGCATACATATACAATGTTTTAAAGTGAGGAAGAATAAAGAATGTCGCTATTGAAAGAAAAAGTTTTTTTGGATTGTCATTCTGTGTGAAAAGTACTTTTATAACGGACAAAGTGAGATTGAAGAAAAGAGGATAAAAGAGCGTAGAAAAATAAGTAAAAGAAACACTTCACCTCTGTAATCTCGTTTCGTGGAAACTATCAGCGACCAAATCGATAACTGCAAGGAACATTACACAACGCTGGAATTTCATCGGCGAATCTTATTATTTTCTATTACTCTATTCATCAAGTAACGACGTACTGAACGAATACTGTTGGTTATGACACAGTCAATAATTATTATATATAATTCACGAAGCAAAATAAATAGAAATATAATTCTTAGAGAATTATTCAACAGCGATTTTCCTCTCCTTTTCTGAGCCAAATAATTAGCAATTAAACTATTTCTTAATTAATAATTTAAAGAGAAAAAGGGAAAAAGAGTGAAAACTTATCTGAAAAAATTTCTGGAGACATCGAAAACATTGACCACGTATACAAGATTAATGTTTACATACATCAAGTTAATTTAACGCAAACAAGAAGGTGTAGAAACGCAATCTGCAGCGACAATATTCAAGTTAGCTAGTTTAAATCTTTTTGGCAGTGTTGCTCACTAAATCGTCACAGTGTGTGGATTGGGGCGAATTCTTGGCTACATCGGCGGACGACCGTCGGTGGGTGCCACCAATATGTCGCAGTCAGGGTCAGGTGGAATGAACGATATTCAAGGACAAAATCAAGCTGGACAAACGACCGATAATCAACAGACAACGTGCCAGAACGGTCGTGCTGAGCCGCTCGCCGATATTACGAAACAGGATCTTTCTAACGGTTTCGAAAATCGGACGATGGATTACGAGAAATTCACTCAAGAAAAAACACAGAATACCTTAGGAGAAGTTCAGGATCAGCAGCCGCAACAGACTTCACAACAGCAGCAGCAACAACTTGCTCATCCAGTTGCACAATATCCGTCGGGAAGAAGACAATCTGTAGGATTACCAGAGGATAAACACCCTTCAACCGGTCAATTGCCACCTCCGCAATACGGCCAAGAGAAAAGTAATGTAGACAGAACTCAGCATGTGTCTCAGACCAGCACTCAGACAGTACCGGTGCAAGCGTATCCGCAGTTTGCTTCTGATTACGATCAAAATCAATATCCGCAGATACGAGGACAATTTGAGGTCAGATCGCAGATCTATCCTCAAACGCAATATTCCGATAGAGCTGGTTATGTAACGAGAGACGTCACTTATCGTGATCCGACTCTTTACAGTCAGAGCGGTGCGACTAATCCCATGTTTACTGGGCAAGGTCAATACGTAACGGTTCAACATGGTTCACAGATACCTTCGCAATCCGCCAGTCCGCAGCCACCATATTACTCGGGTGTAATCGTACCACAACCACCGAGTTACGCTCAATTTGGTACACAGCCGCAATATTCTTATAGTCAATATCCGCAGACAGTAATGAACGCCATACCGTACAATCCACATACCGGTTCTATTTATCCCGCTCAACAATATTCTGGTCAACAGTCGCCGAATCCACAAAGATTTTCGCAAGAGATCGGCCAGTATCAGACACAACCGATTATTCAGCCGATCGCTCAGAATGTAACACATGGGATCGCTATCCAGACGACGGAGCGACCTTGTCGAGGACCGAAACCAATGGTGCCGCCTCGTGGCAATTCCAAGATTACCACCCATGATCCCGGACATAGAAAATCCGCAAGTGTTGATGTGCCAGCGTTGCAAAAGGCGAAGTATGAGTCGACGCCGACTGCTCAACAGGATTCAATTCATCGTAGTGATGGCACCATAGTTATGACGGGCGCGCCGATCGGTCCGGATGGATCGGATAGAAGATATCTAACTACAATTAATCAAAATCCCAGAATCAGACAAGATGGTTTGTATGTAGATACAAACGGTGATCAGTCGGGTAGAGAGAAACTAGTCGATACAATCGCCACGGAATGCGGCTTATATGTGTCCAGGTCGGAGCATAGGAAATCTATATCGGTCGATGTGACTACCAGCTTCCAAAGACGAAATGACACGATAACTTTTACGTTTCCTGGCGACGGTAATCAAGAGGTTATGTCGGGGAGGAAAACGACGACTGCAGTAGACGCCAAGAGAGTCGAGACTAATCAAATATTTCCGACTGAACAAAGGAGATTGGATGCGGGTCTGCGTGTATCGCCGATGGCGTTTGATACGAGACAAGAAAATAGAAAGAGTATAGGGGCCGATAGGAAGCCCGAATGGGGTAACGTGAGTCCGAATCAGAGAACTGCCATTCCTTCAGAAAACAGACGATCGGATTATTTTGAAGAACACCGAAGATCACCCATGAATTTAGAAGGTAAAAGAATAGAAGATGTAAGGAGATCGCCTATGCCGTTTGTGTCGATTCGTGAAACGTCTGTTGATCGCGCCGGACAGAAAAGTCCTTCTTTTGTTAGCCAAAACTTTGAGAAGACTAGACAGGAGCTGGCAATCTGGGCAGAACAACGTCAACGGCAAGAACATGAAAGGAGCATAATGCAAGGTCCAATATTTACGACAAGTCCTCGTTCTCGTAATCCTTCGGAAGAAAGAAGAGATATCAGGTCGATTCATCCACTGGATGATCGAAAAGAGTCGAGAATGTCTCAATCGGCCTTTCAACCCATTCCTAATATTAGTCAAAGTACTATAATGGAGCAACGTCGACATCTGAGACACGTTAGCGCCGATCTAACGAAGCACATGGAACTCTCGAGGAAGGATTTCGATGAGCAACCTATTACAGGATCCGTAGTGAATCTGGGATCGGTAGCTAGTACGACTTCATCGCAAAGAGCCAGTCCGAATCTTTGTCATCAATATCCAGCTCTCAGCGAGGCAAAAATAGATACGAAAACTGTGTTGACTGTAGTGACAGATTTTGGCGAGTCGGTTGCTGGCAAACCAATTGATCAAGTTGATCACATAATTCACAGTCATCGTAAAAGTCATAATACTTCCTCTAATTTGCTCACTCATAGTAAAAGCCAGATGGAAAATTTGCAGAATACGTTAGAAAACCAGAGCGAGAAAATAGATTCTCTTCAGGCCCAGCAACAACAATTGCAGAATCAACAGAGTCTCGATTTAATCTCTGAAAAATTAAGTCAATTCGAACGTCAGCAGAGCGACCTCCAAGCCAAGTTGCAGTGTCTTCAAAATCAAAATCAAATTTTGGATAAAGTGGCGCAATTTCAACATCAGCAGAGCGATCTTCAAGCTCGGTTGCAAAGTTTGCAAAATCAAGGTCAATTGAATGATAAAACTCACAAGATATCTGGTGATTTTGCGCAACTTCCAATGACGAGCGATACACATCAGGTTCAAGCGAGCCCTCTTCCGAATCATCAGGAACAATCATCGGATAAATCTTGCACGACTCATCAACCGGTACACAGCCTTCATCAGACACTTCTGACTACTGCGTATCCGCAAAGTGCCACCCTCCAAGCCTGCCAATCGTCCGTGTGTGAGAAACTGACGTCCCGCGTACAACACGACGTTTCCGATCCGAATTCCATTCAGATACCGAACATGTCGCAAATGCCATTACCGTGCCTCCCGCAATTCGATCGCGCCGACGCGTCGCGTACTTCGTTCTCCCAGTTTCATCGACTTCAGTGCCAGATTGAGAATCATGAGAGTGCTTTAGCGACGAGTGCTGGTATACCTGCTAGCTCTTTCACCGGTACGCTGAAGAAAATACCGCCGGAAAAACCACCACGGACGTCCTTGATAGTGCAGTCGCCGGAAGCTGAGGTAATATCCAGAAAAAAAAATATTTCTATTTGTTAGTTATTTTTGTCGATTATTTGAAATTTCTATTTTATCCCAAATATCTTATATAGAAACACGCAAATATAACCATATTTAAATAAGAGAATAATTGCAAAAATCTATATTGTATACTATTATTAATTAGCAATTATATTATTATTTTAATCAATGACTCAATATTATACGTCAAATACATTCGCAAAGCATAATCGAAACTTTGCATTAATTGGAATCGCAAATTCTGTGTATCTTCAAAGTATAAATAGCGGTTCAACATCTTGTTTTTGCACTAGTTAGAATCAACGATCTTTGGAGTAATACGCGGCGAAAACTCCCTTTATGTTATCCAAAATGTTAGAGAGTACGCGCGTGTTCGCGGCCGAGGAGATTGCGGCGGCAATGAATGGTTACAAGCGAGCAAGATCCGGACGATGCAGGCAGATAGAGATCTCCGTTTGCAGTTTTTGTCGCGGCATCCGAGTGGAATGAACTCGTTAAATATCAGACCTGATGTTGTCTTTGAAAACTTTGTTACGGGCCCTGTGTACCTTTGGCTCCACTTCCGAGCGTTTGCAGTCTCAACGTTCTTGTCGCGACTATAAAAAGCTATGCACCAGCATCGTCTGACGGTGACGTTATTCGCTCGGTCGCGAACGTGTTTCGAATAACGAAAGCCAGATTTTTTTCATATCGTACAACTGTATTTCGTTCGCAGGGTATACATACATCATCCTTTTTATAAGTCTTTTGTGCTACCACCTGTCAATAAAAAAAGATAGTCATAAAAGAATTGAACAAATTCATAAAAAATAGTATATGCAATTCAAACACATGCGTATCATGCGATGTATTGAGCCATTTTGATTGATGATCGACATTTTTATAAAATAAAAATATATTACTCGCGATGTCAAATATTTAATTATGATCGAGGCTTTTCGAATCGTTAGATTTATATATTGGGTAATATATTTTTGAATAAATAATATTTTAAATAGATAATATATTTTTGAATATAGAGTGAATTAGAAAGATTTTAAAGAGTAAATTGATGTTTTTTTATGTAACTAGAACGCCCACAAAATGATCTTAATTTCATAAATATAGGTAAACAAATGGTTTGTTAGATTAATTGTATAAACAGTAGTTATATATACAATTATATCAATATATCCTTTGATTATAATTTGTTTATCTCTGCATCATATCTCTGACTACATGATATAATTTTGATACTAGCACACATATAATGTCAATGTATGACATAATATACATACATCCAAATATAAATGTATCTTGTTTTTGTCAAGATATGATTTGTATATTTTTTTGACAATAGTAGTTATTTGCAAGATTGCAGATCACAAAGAAATGATATAAAAGAGCATAATTTTTTTTTTATATAAAAGAGAAACAAACGGTTTCCTTAAATGACATTATTTAAAGTAAATGAAATATTTTTTAAAAATAAATATCTCTTTTTAATTTCTTCTTTATGAAATATTTCTCTACTAGTAGTTGACGTATAATGAGACGACAAATAAAATTTGCTATTGCGGTTGTATCAATGCTGACATCGTATTAGCGAAATTGAGTTACAATGGCGAATCGACTGCGTATGAAAAGTTTCGACGTTTATCTCTCTGAAAAAGCAAATATCTCTCGCTTCAAATTGCAAGCTCGCTGGATAATGAAAAAGTAAAGACAATTCATATTTCTGGTTGCAAAGTGCTATGTTATCTAATATCTCAGAACTGTCGTATTTAAAAAATGAGAATATCGTATTCTGCTCTTGATAACTATATCTTTCCTTCATATTTTTATCGGTGTCAATTTATTATTATATATTAATTTATTATATAAATAATAAGTAATGACTAATTTTTACTTGATTTCTGTTATCTAATCGTTTATCTACAATGCGTACAAATTGGGTGTTACTATTATTATGTTCATACATATGTATTTGCAAATTTCTCATTTTTCTCACATTGTATCGAAAATATATCGAGGTATTCTCTCTTTATCGAATTTTTGTTTAACATTTTTCTTCGTCGCCAGCGCACCCTTCATGTAGTATGTCAGAGCTCTCTCTTTTCGGCCAACGTATAGAAATTCTATACGATTTGATACATTCATCTCTCCGACCAAGCTCGATTCTGTGAAAGCATCGTTGTCGAATAGTGTGGGCTTTTCAGAAATCGTTTCTTCCAGGAATTTATTTACACAGACTCGTTTCATTCGCTGACATATAAATCTGGTTTTACCATTCACTGAATAACACTTGCCTATATGTTTATATTTCAACGCATCTTCACAAAATCGCATAAATTTGTATTGAAAAGTTCAGTTATCGGGATGCCGTGAAAAAACATTCACATTTACTTATTCTTTACACATTGAAACATGTAAATCAATGTATTGTTTCCAAAGCATAGTAAATGAATTTTTTTCAAAAGGAAAAAAAAAGAAATTATTTCTCAAAAGTAAAATATTTTCCCGTATAAATTTTAAATATGGAATCGATGTTGGATAAAGATAGTTTGGTGATGCAAGAAATATAATTGATGACAAAAGAGTCGAGAATGCGATGATTTAATAGATTTTAACAAAAGTTGGAATGGGCGAAATTGTTCCGCCACGCCCTAAACTTGTACTTTTCGACTAAGGGGGCGAATTAAGTCGAGAAATGTTATGAATAACGGCCCATCATGAATTAAATATGAGTAGTAGTCTCGCGTGTCGTGTACATTGGCGGAACGACGCGACATTGCGAGAGAATAAAAAAGGTGGTTAGGGTGCAGAGGAGATAAAAGGACAAGAAATCAGCCAAGGGCGTACAATAAACCTTCTAACTTTTCTTTCCCTGTACGTAGAAACGGGAACGTTTCGATATTCTTTTTACAACGCCTGTATCTTCCTTTACGCTAGAATTATTCGGGACTTTGCAAGCAAACTTGCCAGCATGTATTCTCTGCGTTTCACGGCCTGTGATTAAAAAAATCGGGGGCCAAGCGTAGTAGATCGTTAAATTACATGACTTTAAAGTGTGTCAGGCATGTATAACGATTACAGTACTGTGACTATATACCTTTATTCTGTGAAAACGCTATTTCCCGAACAGACAACGTTGATAAGCGAAAGAGTGCTGCACGGTATCAAATAGGATCAACACATAGATTGCTGGAATTTCTCAAACCCGCGAGAAAATCTCCAGGTAACGGCCACCCAATAACCGGAATCTATTCTTGTACCAACGCGCGCTACTACAGAGCTTTCTGACACCATGAAATTCGTGACACATTTTGCTCGAAATACACAGAAATTTTGAAATTAAACTCTGTCTTTCTGTTTTGGTAAATACGTATTTTCTTTGGCGTTTTAGAAACGGTTCTCGCCAGCACGCATGTAGCACTTTTTTTTGCAAAACTCCAGCGTCCCAAACAATGTCAGTCCTTTCGCGCGGATCGATTTTGCCGTGCTTTTATTTCGCTGCGGGCGTTTCGCACGTGATAGCTATATAGTAACCGATTGTACAAGCTTTTACAAATCTCCACAGTTATTCACTAGCGAAGGTTTTTGCGAAATTTCAAGCATAACTTTTCCCACCGCCATTTAGCATGTGGTTGCAAATTGTGACTAATAGTTCTCCGGTTTATGCGCTATCGCCAAGTATTTACGATGGTCACCACCGCGAGAAACATGCCTGGTAGTTGCGTATGTGTTTTTAATCCATGTATATATATATATATATATATATATATATCCATGACAATATAAACCGACCGTTGATTTTATTCCAGCATCCGATTACAAAATCGAACATTCTCGTGTGCGCGGATTAGCTGCTCGGGTTTCTTCTCCGCGCAATTTCACGGACGACCACGCGAATAATTCGAGCTTTCGTTGTAATTGATACGCGATCGATATGTACGCCTTTATTTCTCGGCTACTATTTTCTTGTTATCGTACCAATGGTGATTTTATTTTAAAACGCGTGTTTTATAAAAGCGTCCGCGCATAACCGGCGGCAATTCCACGAGAAAATATTTCGTAGATCGTGCTATGCTAAGAATCTTATTCTCTCGTGTAGTAAGACAATTATAATACTTCTTTGAAAGATTATCTCAGCGAACCCGCGGGATATCTAGTAGGATTCCAACCGATCGATACTACAAATATCAGCAATGGAAATTGTGTTGATACCACCGTTTTTAAGCCAGAAAACCCAAGTTTGTGTTAATATCTACACAATGCTTGCTAGGTAAAACAACATATAAAAATTAAGTAATTTTAATATTGTAATATATATATATTTCTATTCAATTATTCTGCGCTCACTTTGCTACAGTTTTTCTTTACATTTTTTTCTGACATGTAACAATCCCGAATGTAACTTCAACATGTATTCTAGAAATCGCATCTGGAATGTTTCGTAACAAGTTAAGATAATTGCGGAGAAATTGTATATGTATACCCGTGTAACGAAAGCTGAATAGTATCACTAAATCAAAATTTATTCAAAAATATGCAATATGAGAGGACGTTGATTTTCGCTTGTATCAATATTATAACAGCTGAGATAAAATACGATGTAATATCACTATAAGGCAACAACACAAAAGTTACAAAGCAATATCTAATTTCTATAAATTAAAATTTTATACAATAATAAACCATAGCAAAAGAATCGTATTGTTGTAAAATTGTAAAATATAATAAACTGTAATGTGATTATTAATGTTGTTATATATCGTTTTTAGTATTGTTATTATTATAAATTATGATTATTAATGTATTATGATCGTAATGTTTTCGGTTATCATGTTAACAAGGAAATAAAATACACGGTCGCAAAGTTAATTTATTCGCATATCAAGAACATATCTGTATACGTGCGCGTATTGACACATTATTACATTCAACGAATCAAATGTTTTACATTGATAATGTTGCGACAAAATATCACGTTTTTTGCCGGT